GTTATGTGATGACCTTGAAGATTGAAGAGCCATATGTGGCTTGGAGAATACTATTCCTTGGACAATATACATATAATGTAGTTTCATAACAAATAACCAACCATGGAAAACTTATTTAAAAGTATGGTATTTTGTTCACCATGGATTTTCCATATATATATATATATATATATGATATTGTATTAAAATACTTACCTTGATTACTGGTACTTCACTGAATGTTACTTTTATGGATAAGGGACGTCCTCATCTCATCATAAATCAAACCCTTAGGTTGCACAGCCAGTAAGGATGTGAACATGCTATTTTCTCTCAAAGACCATGTTGCTAGTGATTTTGCTATATACAACCTTACAAGAGGTAGAGGGCTATCTTTGCATTATTTACTTGTAGTCTATTTGAGATGAATACTTCACCAGAAAAAGTTACAAAATCAAGGAGCCAAGAAGAGACATGAATGTGTCATTAAATTATGTACAATGATTTGGTATCAAAATTAGTGTGGTAGGGACTTGATAGGTCATAATTAATCATGGAAAATCATGGCCATATGTTCTTTCCAACTCAACTCATGCTAAAACCCATACATTGAACCTTCTTGGTTTTTTGTTTGTTTGTTTGTTTGTTGTACTGGGATCAGGATTTCCAGTTTTTCAGAAGGACATTGGCACTATTTGATTTAGTGGTTCTGTCTTGTCTCTGGCTGGCTTCAGTTAGCTGGATCCAGCTTTAAGTTAGCATTGGCTGCATTGAGCAGAGCACACAGCAGATGTTTGGTGCTCTGAGCTCCTTTGCAGCTATCGCTGACTGTAATAATCCCTGCTTCTCTGTCTCCAATCTGCTTTGTATCTTCACATTTTCTCCATGTATTCTCCACTCTGCCAGCACTGTCAACGCAGGCTGTTTGCCACACTCCTAACATTCATTTTCAGCAGCACTGAACCAACATATTTCTAAACAACGTTAGCTATTAGCCCTTTGTAGTTTGGCAAGTACTTTATATTTTGATAATAGCCAAGACCATGATGGTCAGATATCACCAAGAGGTTGTGACACTGTTTCTAAATCTCAAGGTCTCATATATACATTTAAAACAATTTCTTCTTGCCTGATAATAAAACAGCACAAATAAAAAGATGATGAAAATTTAAACAATGTAGGCATCTAGTATTCAGTTATGTGACATTACCGTGAATATTTCATTATTTGAATGTTGTGTTCTGTTCCCCACTTCATGATTTAAAAGAGAAAAAAATTTCAAGATCTTTTAAGATTTTATTCATTCTTTGAGAATTTATATATGTATACTGTGTATTTTGATTATAGCTACCCCTCACCCATCCCTCCTCTTCCTCTTGGATCCCTTACTGTCTCTCCCATCTTGTCCTCCCTTCCTCTTCTTTTTCCTCCTCTTCTTCTTTCCTTCCTTCCTTCCTTTCTTTCTTTTTGGTTTTTCCAGACAGGGTTTCTCTATGTAACAACTTATTTTTCATCACTCACTTAGTGCTGCCTATATCTGCGTGAGTTTAGGGTTGTCCTCTAGAACATGGCCAACCTACTAGGGCTATATCCCTGAAGAAAACCAATTCTCCCTCTCCCCATAGTCATCCCCTGAAAATAGCTCTTCAGTCAGGTGAGGAGGGAGGTCTCATGAACCTCTTTCCTGTCCGTGGAGTATCAACTGACTTGATCTTGTGGAGGTCTTGTGTAGGTACCTGCAGCCATTTTAAGTAGCTATTTATTGTAAGTTCATCAGTGTAGCGACCCTGTCCTGTCACATCCAGAGGACACTTTCACAGAAGTCTTCTTAGCTTCTGGCTTTTACAGATTTTCTGCCCTTCTTCCAGAATGCTACCAGAGCTTGTGCGTAAATGTCCCATTTATGACCGAATACTCTGTAGTCATTTATAATTGGTGCTAGATGTGTGTGTGTATGTGTGTGTGTGTGTTGTGTGTGTGTGTATGTGTGTGTGTGTGTGTGTGTGTGTAAACAGGAAGTCTCTCTGATGAGAGGTGAAAACTGTATCTATGGGTATAACGATAAGTATTGTAATAGACCTCTTTCTGTTTTTTATTTTTAAATATAGTTTTATTATTTTGAAAATTTCATGTGATGTATTTTGATCACATTCACCATGCTTCCTCCCCCTAACTGCTCCCAGGCCCACCCTCATCCCTTATATCCTCCCAACTTTGTGTCTCCTCCTCCTTTTAAAAAAATAATCCATTGAGTCCAATTTGTGCTGTTCATATATTATGGGGTGTGGGGTCATCACTGAATCAAGGTAGAGCTACCAGGAGTCACACCTTTAAAGAAAACTGATTCTCCATTCCCACAGAAGTTCTTCAGTTAGGGGTACAGAATTCTGAGCACCTCCTCCATGCCAGAATGTTGACTACCTTGGTCTTGTACAAGTCTTATGCAGGCAGCCACAAGCCCCTGTGAGTTCATAAGCAGTGGTGAAGGATCTTTGCTTAGTTCACTGACTGTGAGAATAAATTTATCCGAAGACATTCCTTAGTGTATACTACTGATTTGTTTGTATGAGTCCCAGGGTCTTGTTATAGCATATGTCTGTCTTTTGCTATTAACTGGCTTTAATTATGTGGCTCAAACATAACTCTTCAAAAAGCTTTCCTGGTTTTACCTGATAAATTATTTTCCCTGAGCACTACTATATTTTTTATATTTTATTATAAACATATGACATAATAGAAAATATGTCTAATTTAATTTTGTATCCCTATAGAGCCCAACACTCCAATCAGATTCACATTTGTTTATTGGACTGAATTAAAATTTATACTGTGGGAAATCACAGGATGATAATTTGTAATGAAAACAGAATATTAGAATGTATTTAAAAACTCTCAGAATAAGTCTGAAGAATTTCCCTAATGCTGGTATGTGTCCTAGGAATTAAATAGCAAAATTAACATTTGCCATTTATCTATCAACCCACATCCCAACTAAACACACACAGTCCTCAATTTCTTATTTATCACTCCAACATTCACATAGATCCGGACAAGCTGACCTTTTGTGTTTTCTTGGGTAACTGGATTATGTTGTGACAACCGGCTGTTAGATACACCGTGCTTGTGTTTGATGCCCGTTGTTTTCAGTGTAGGATAGCCCTGAGTATAACTACCCCAAAGCAAGGATCTGTTTCACCTCACACAGCTGACATAAGACCAGGTACACATAACAAATATATTTTTATGATGAAATTGAGAATTCTAATAATAACTTTCCCGGTGGGAGTCACAACTGAGTTAATTAGATTTTGTAATTCCACATACAAAACAACACGACTTTTACTTTCTGGAGACTTGGATAGTTTTTCTCTGTAGAACTGTTCCTGGGGTTTAATGAAACACTTGGGGCAGGTGGCCTTTGCAGTTTCCCAGGGTTTCTGGGCTCAGCACAGCAGGTTTCTGCCCTGCTGAGCTAATCTTCATCATCTCTTCTCTTTAGCCTTTTACTTAAAGCCACATTATTTCCTGTTTGTAAGAATATGCCTGACCTCTGCAGACACAGCAATGATGACTGGAAGAGCTTACATGTTTTCACATCAGACTTAGTAAATTCTAGAACCATCAGTAGTTAGGGCATGGCTGTAAGTCAGTGAAGCAAACAGATTTTGACATTTAAAAAGAGAATGCACAGTAGGAATTTAATCAGCATATTGCCAACACAATATTCCCTTTGAAGGAAGGATTCTTTCAAAGGCATCTCTCAATTTGCCTACATTACAATCAGGTCTTTAAAACTACAGTGTGGGGCAAGGATCTGTTGATGTTTAAGAGTCACCCTCTCTTTCTGCAGCCTAATTTTCATTCTCTCCATCCCCCATCTATTTTAAGTGTCCTGATGGGATCATAAGAAATGTCTATGCCACCTTCCAAGTTTCCTTGAAGGACATTACTAGATCAAGGAGACCTATCATTTATCAAGTATTTGACGTTTAATGAGCTGGCACTCATTAACCAACCAACCGGCATGAATTTAGTGAACATCAGCTTAACATGAGGATGGTGAAAAGGTGACTTGAGTTCTATTCCTGGAGCTACATGGTGGAAGAAGAGAACTGACTCCCCAAAGTTGTCCTCTGACCTCCAGACATGTCATGGTACATACTTCCTCCCTCCCCCGCTTAAACAAATAAATGCAACTTTTAAAGGTCCCCATTCTGGCTATCTGTTGTGGTGTCTAAAGGTTGTGGTTACTATGGGCCTGCAGCCCCTGCTTCAGTAACAGAGCTGAACAGTAATGTGCTTCCACAGAACTGGTTTCTCCCATACACAGTTCATATGCTTTTTTAAACAAGACATATTTGATAGTGTGTGTGTGTGTGTGTGTGTGTGTGTGTGTGTGTATGTGTGTGTGCCTATGAGTGTGTGAATGTGTTTCTGTGTATGTGTGTGTGTGTGTGTGTGCAGGCACCTATGGCTGTCAGAAGGGGGGTCACTGAATAACTTGTGCGCCGTTTATTGTCCTCTGGTAGAGCAGTAAGCACTCCTAAGCACTGAGCCGTCTCTCCATCCTCTTCCCTTGTGTTTCATAAGCATCAGGTTTTGCATTTTTTGACTAAAGCAATGCAAGATTGTGGCAATGCAGGTTTTGGAAAAGGAGGGTCTATGTCTCTACATGTATTATTTGTAAAACAAATATTTGTGACTAGGGTTTCTGTATGTGGCTCCTCCCCGGGGCAGCATCACACCTGTTCTCTCAGCAAACACAGTCTGGTTTATAATTTGAAGTAGAAATCAACCTTTAGGAACTAATTTCAGAGGCCCACTGCATGCATCGCTGCTTGCTTAGTTAGAAGACACCTCAGTAACCTTTCCTTTCTTCCCCAGTACTCCCAGTACTTCCCCAGCTACTGGCATAATGTCTGCGTCTCATCAAGTATTTCTCTATTATTGCTTGCTATTCATTTCACCTCATTAATATTTAAAGATCATTACAGTTATTCACTGAAAAGGGCAACACTTACCACTAACCATTCAAAGGTGAACCCAGGTGAAATTTCTGAGGAGGTATTTTGAAAGCATGGTATTTCCAGAGTTTGATTCGTCTCTGTTTCTATTGTATGGTTGCGTTCTTCTTGTATAACTGGAACAGAACATAAGTGGAAGATGCATGGATCTCAGCATATAAGGTACATTTTATCAAAGAGACTAAAACAGTTTAGAATAGAAATTCATCTATCTTCAAGACACCTATGAAGTAATGAGGCAGAACCCCACCGAAGTCCACATTGTTTAAATGGCAAAACTGAGCCAGGAGATGCCTGGGGAATTGCTCATCACTGAAAACTCACAGAGAAGCTATTTGACAATCCAACCTAGAATTTGACATACTCTTCTGCTTTAACCCCAAATAGGTCCATCCATCTTCAGGTTACACGTCCTCATTAGAAAGAATATGAAGTCTTATAACCTACTTTGTAATTGTATTTTAAAATTTATTAGAACTTATTCTTTTTCCACAGCAGCTGTAGATTCACAGCAAAAGTGAGCAGAAAATACTGACCATTCCCATGTACATGTAGTTCTCACCTTTATACATGTAGCATCCTCTGTTGTCAGCATCTTACATAAGAGTAGTGCATTTGTCATAATAAATTACAATCTTACAATCGTTACCTATCAGAGCCCACAGCTTGCTGTAGGGTTTATGTGATGTACATCCTATGGGTTCTCACAAGTGTATAGTGTCACACAGTCACATTAAACAGAAACCTTTTCTCTCTTTGGTCTCAGGAGAAAATCCTTAGTCACTTAAGTTCCACGTGATTCAAGCATACCCTAGGAAACTTAGAACAGATAAAATATGAAGGCATGCATAGTTCTGTGTTATGTTTTTAGGGACAGAGCATGTTCAGTATACATGCAATTGGTTTCTAAAACTTTCTTATCTGATATAGTACTCTAAACATGTATATATATTAGAAGATTCTTGTCCGTTAATATTAAAGAAATTTCACCATCATAATATTTCCAAATGTAGCTATTTGTGCAACACCATCAAAAGTCTAACAAACTGCATACCACTTTTAATTTTATTTTGCATAAGTATAGCTTAAACATAATAATCTACTTATTAATATCTATCATGCTCACAAATTGAATACATATGTTAACAATATTTTAATGGACATTACCCAATATACAGTTAATATATAATTATCATTATTAGCTTTTACACATTATGTAACTTTTTGATTTTACTTTATAGCCCTGACTGGCTTGGTACTTACTACATAACCGAAGCTGGCTTCAAATTCATCACAATTCGACTGCCTCAAGCATGAGAATTACAGGTGTGCAGCATCGCATCACCTCTCCTTTTAAAGTTTCTTCAGATTCCAAATGTAACTTTTTGAATATAAACATAAATATGTAATTTAAAAATAAATTAAAATCACCTAGAAAGTATCTACAAGTATATTAAACTACAACATGCCCCATCAGTAAATGGCAACACACTAGTGGTAGCAACTGTGCAGAAAGAAAACAGGAAAGTGGACTGTGCTTCTGCTCAGCTTTGGAAAGTCTACTCCCGCAGTGGGTGATCTCTGTAGCAACAGCTGGCTAAATGAGAAGAGCAGCAGAGATGGAGAAAGGGGTAGGAAGGACCCAGATCACCAGTTTATTCTTGGTGAATAGGAAAAGTTCCCCATCCAGGGACAGATGAGAGTTTGTGGGATGTCCCCAATGCTGTGAAGAAACCCTGGGGAGAAGAATCTAATTAAGTGAGATAGAGCCAACATAAAAAATCAAAGAGTAAATTCAGATATAAGTGGAAGATAAAAGGAAAGGAAGTATATACCAGCAGTCCCACAGCTAGTATTTACCTTGGAAATAGCAGATCAGGGGCTATAGCCACAACAAAGTCTACAGAGGAGCTAGCCTGGCAAGCCTTTCATGAAAAGAATAAAACTATACTTAAGGCTAAGCAATAGGAAAATGAATGCAGTAGAATGAGCTGTAAAGCTACAGTGAGAAAAAGACCAGCGAATAAAATACCATTTATATAACAATGAAAGCAGAGTAGCAGTATATTCACACATAAATAAAAGCTACAACTTCATTATTCAAAATGCAATGAATGAATGAAAATGATATAAACTGTGAAAAAATGGAAAGGCTGATAAATGAGTTCACTGGAGAACAGAAGACCTGTAAAAGATAGGTAATGTAATTCAGAAAATCATTGTCAAAAATCACTCTAATAATGAGATGAAACTGGAAACAAACTGAAAGCATATGTACACAAAAATTAATGTATTGAGAGAAATTTAAAAAGTCAATTGATGTTTTTGATTTTAGCCATTCTGACAGGAGTCAGATGATATCTCAGAGTTGTTTTGATTTGTATTTCCCTAATGACTAAGGATGTTGAGCACTTTCTCAAGTGCCTCTCAGCCATTTTAGACTCCTCTATTGAAAACTCTCTATTTAGTTCAGTAGCCCACCTTTTAATTGGATCCTTTGATGTTCTGGAGACTTGCTTCTTGAGTTCTTTGCAAATTTTGGAGATCCACCCTCTGTCAGATGTGGGGTTAGTGAATATCTTTTCCCATTGTGTAGGTTGCCTTTTTGTCTTGTTGACTGTGTCCTTAGCCTTACAAAAGCTTCTCAGTTTCAGGATGCACCATTTATTAATTGTCTATCTGTGTCTGTGCTACTGGCATTATGTTCAGGAAGTGATCTCCTGTACCAATTCATTCAAGGGTGCCTCCCTCTTTCTCTTCCAAGAGGTTCAGTGTGGCTGGATTTATGTTGAAGTCTTTGATCCATTTGGACTTAAGTTTTGTGCATGGCGATAGACATAGATCTATCTGCAGTCTTCTACATGCCAGCATCCAGTTATTCCAGCACCATTTGTTGAAGATGCTTTCTTTTTTCCATTGTATATTTTTAGCTTCTTCATCAGAGATCAGAGGTTCATACGTGCATGGTTTAATATCAGGGTGTTCAATTAGATTCCACTGGTCTACCTGTCTACTTTTGTGCCAATACCAAGCTGGTTTCAGGATTATAGCTCTATAATAGAGCTTGAAGTCAGGGATGGTGATGCCTCTGGATGTTTCTTTATTGAACAGTGTTGTTTTGACTATCCTGGGTCTTTTGTTTTCCCACATAAAGTTGAGAATTGTTCTTTCAAGGTCTGTGAAGAATTGTGCTGGGATTATGATGGGGATTGCATTGAATCTGTAGATTGCTTTGGGCAAGATTGCAGTTTTTACTAGGTTGATCCTATCTATCCAACAGCATGGGAGATCTTTCCATTTTCTGGTGTCTTCTTTAATTTCTTTCTTTAAAGATTCAAAGTTCTTGCGATACAGGTCTTTCACTTGTTCGGTTAGAGTTATCCCAAGGTATTTTATGTTGTTTGTGGCAATTTTAAAGGGTGATGTTTCTCTGATTTCATTCTCAGCCCTTTGTATAAAGTAGGGATAGTGATTTTTTTTTAGGTGATCTTGGATCCTGCCACTTTGCTGAAGGTGTTTATCAGCTGTAGGAGTTTCCTGGTAGAGTTTTTCAGGTCACATTCATACAACAAGGACATCTGTTCAATTACATTCATGGCAGCATTATTTGTAATAGCCAGAACCTGGAAGCAACCTAGATGCCTCTAAACTGAAGAGTGGATAGAGAAAATATGGTACATTTACATAATGGAGTACTACTCAGCAGAAAAAAAGCCAATGGAATCTTGAAATTTGCAGGCAAATGGATGGCACTAGAAGAAACCATCCTGAGTGAGGTAACCCAGTAACAAAAAGAGAAACATGGTATGTACTCACTCATATATGGATTTTAGACATGGATCAGGGGTGTGACAGCCTACAATCCCACTGCCAGATAGTCTGGGAAACAGGGAGGACCCTAAGAGAGATATGAATGGTACCCCAGAGAAGGGGAATGAGACAGTATTTCCTGAGTGGATTGGGAGCATGGAGGGATGGGAGAGGGAGCTGTGAAAAATAGAGGGTGAGAAGAGGAGAGAGGAGGACATGGGGGAGCAGGAAGATTAAGTCAGGGGAAGAATAGAGGAGAGCCGGATGAGAGATACTATAATAGAGGGAGCTATTATAGGTTTGACAGGAGATTGGCACTAGTGAGATTCCCAGAGATCTACAAGGATGACACCAATTGGCAAAGTAAAGTAATAGTTGACAGGCTACCTTAGATGACCTTCATGATAATGAGGTTGATTACTACCTTATATGCCATCCTAGAGCCTTCATTCAGTGACAGACGGAAGCAGAAGCAGACAACCACAGCTAAACACTGAACTGAACTGGAACCCAGTTGCAGAGAGGGAGGAGTGATGAGCAAAGGGGTGAAGACCAGGCTGGATAAACCCACAGAAACAGTTGACCTGAGCAAGTGGGAGCTCATGGACCCCAAGACTTACGGCTGACAGGCCAGCATGGGACTGATCCAGACCCCCTAAATTTGGGTGTCAGTGAGAAGGCCTAGGCAATCTATGGGGCCTTGTGCAGTAGATCAGTATTTATCCCTGGCATACAAATGGACTTTCAGAGCCCATTCCACATGGAGGGATGCTCTCTCATCCTGGACACATAGGGGGGAGCCTAGGTTCTGCCCTGGATGAAATGACAGACTCTGGAGATCCCCTTGGAGGGCCTCACCCTCTGTGGGGATTGGAGTGGGGATTGGGTTGAGGGCAGTGGGGGCTGGTGGTGGGCGGGTGGAGGAGGGGAGGGAGAAGGAGCTGGGATTGACATGTGAAGCAAGCTTCTTTCTGATTTAAATAAAAAAGATTTAAAAAGTCAGTTGAGGGAAATATATAAATAAATAACTTTAAAAATAAGATAGCCAAATAATACAGTAAGTACCAAGAAAAAGTGTGTGTGTGTGTGTGTGTGTGTGTGTGTGTGTGTGTGTGTGTGTGTGTATGTGTAAAACAAAAGACCTTGAAGGGAAAAATCAAAGAAGCATGGAATGGCACAGATGCTAAAAATCATAAGTTAGAATTTTTTCTTAAAATAAAAAAATGGCTATAATCTGTATTTAGAGATTCATTGAAGTAAGAAAACTGACTTAGGTCAGACTCAATAAAGCATAGTTTTATGACAG